CACTTCCGGTTTTCTGGTGGTTTATTGGACATAGGAGTCTCAGGATCGCTCCTGCCCGGGCTGGCTTTGAACCGCGTTCCTCAGATCTCAGCCTCCTGAGTAGCTAGGATTACAGGCGTGAGCCACCAGCGCCCGGCTGAAGATACAGATTTTTAAAAATTTTTATTTAAATTTATTTTATCTTTATTTTTTCAGTATTTTTATAATTAACTTACTTTATTGTTATTATAGAGGTGATGTATAGAGGGCTTACAATTATATGAGTCAGGTAATGAGTACATTTCCTTTTGCACAGGGTCTCCCGTTCCCTCCCAGTGTGTGTGCTGGTCTTGTGGGGCTTGTAATCAGGCCTGGATGCTATTCCTGCTGTTTTTCCCTCAAGGCTAGTGCTCTATCATTTGACCCACAGTTCCATTTCTGGCTTTTTGGTAGTTAACTGAAGATAAGAATCTCAGGGATTTTCTTGATCCACGGTCCTCAGATCTCAGCCTCCTGAGTAGCTAGGATTACTGCTGTGAGCCACTGGTGCTTGGCCAGATGGTTTTGAACTTATTTTTTTATTGAGAAAATATTAGACAAAAATCTAGGAAAATAAAAGCCCAGTGACAGAATTGGCCCCCAGACTGTAAAGGGATAAATAACTTTTCCTCCTTTTTTATTCACTCTTAGAATTTAACAGAATATTAGTAATAGTTAAATTAGTTTAGAAGAATGTAGAAATTAAATTACAAGTGAAATTCATTTGTCTAATAGTGTTCCCAGAATTACAGATCTTGGGTCTTTGGTGTTTGGGAAAAAATGTTCTTTTCTAATATACAGGTGACATTAAACTTTATAGTTGGCTGTATCTACTAATGCTAGCCAGGAATTATATTTTTTAAAAGTTGACCTTGTTTCTTAAATAGTTCCTCTAGTCATACTGTGAGATTTCATTGCCACATGAGCTGTGATTGAGCTGCGTTGGCTGGAACCTGCCTCACCTCTTCCTGAAACGCACTTGTTAAACCACTTGCTTGTCCAAATACCATCCTTGAATTTTAATACTCCAAAGATAAATATGATAAAACACAAATTGATATATGTATCTTAGAGTTACTTTATGTCTCTATGAATAGTTATTGAATGATGCAAATAAAATGTGCTTACTCTAGAGTTCTGAATTTTATTTTTGAAGGATTCATTTGTAACATTAAATAATATAAGATTTAATAATGAGGTAACTTAAGAGAATTTTTCTTTACTTTTAAATTATTATTTTTATTTATAAAATCTTCTGAAAAACTTGTCATTTATTCTTCCATATCCATATGAGAAGAAGATGAGAATTAGTATGGAGAAGGAATAATGGAGGTCTGATTGTTAATTTTCTTTTATGGGTAGGATTTCATCATTCTTTATCTTAACCAATATATTTATATTGCTTAGGATATAAACAAGTTCAATACTAAATGTGAATAATTTGTGCTTCTGACAGAGTAATTTTCTTCCTTGCATTTACTTAATGAAAAGACAAAGAACCATGTTTTTACTATGCATTTATAACATCTGCTTCTAGCAAGCTCTTTATTTTTTATTTTTATTTTTTAATTTTTTGTCATGGGGTTTGAACTCTGGGCCTGGGAGCTATCCCTGAGCTCTTCAGTTCAAGGCTAGCGCTCTACCACTTGAGCCACAGTGCCTCTTTCTAGCAAGCTCTTTAATATCCTAGTGATTCTACATGTTTTAAAACCTTCCAACCTTTGTTCATGAAATGTGTCTTTTAAGGGTGGGGACAAATGCAATGAAATATTAAACAAGATTTCAGGGGCTGGAGGTATATGTCAGTAGTAAAGCATTTGCTTGCCATGTACTAGGGTCTGGAACCAATTCCAGCACTAAAAAAACAACAATCAAAAGATTTTATGATGTATAGACAATTATGTGAGAAAAGAAACACATCATTTATTGCTCGGTGTACATTAGTAACACTTTTATTTTACTTAAGAATTTTGCACAAACTACTTTGTTTTATTTTTAAAAATTATATATAATTAAGCTTCTTGTATAACATATAATCATTATATCGTATGTATTTGAAATTATTATACTACTGAAATGAACTCCTAAGATAAGGAAACAAAAGACTAATATGTTTTTTTCTTTTCTGGTAATTCTGTATTCTTTAACCTTTACATGGTGTATTCATGAATATAACTGTGGAGGGCAGGAGGAGTAGGGCTCAGAACTCGAGGAAAAAGGGTGAAAAAGTGCAACAGTGGAGTTCACTGGACACTGATAACAGTGAACTAATATACAACTTTTGGGTGGAGACAGGAGGGAGGAGGGACTGGGGGAGAGGGAATCGATGACACTATAAAAGGAAATGTTCTTATACCCAACTCATGTAAATGTAACTCCTCTGTACATCACCTCTAGGATAACAATAAAGTACATGTTTTAAAAAACGCTAAAAAGCCGGGCGCTGGTGGCTCACGCTTGTAATCCTAGCTACTCAGGAGGCTGAGATCTGAGGATCGCGGTTCAAAGCCAGCCCGGGCAGGAGAGACCGTGAGACTCCTATGTCCAATAAACCACCAGAAAGCCGGAAGTGGCGCTGTAGCTCAAGTGGTAGAGCGCTCGCCTTGAGCTGAAGAGCTGAGGGACAGCACCAGCACCCAGGCCCAGAGTTCAAGTCCCACGACCGACCAAAAAAAAAAAAAAAGGCTAAAAAATTACTTAGTAATGAATAATGAGAAAGAAGATAAATACTTAACCAGAAGAATTTAGACTTTTTTAATGTGATTTTTGAGGTCTTGGGTTCTCTAAGAAATACTACGAAATAGCTGGAGCTAGAATTTTAATTTTAAAGCCCCCCCCCTTTGAATTTTATTTCTGTGCAACATATTGTCCTAAACTTTAGCAGATTAAAACAATGGACATTTATTAGTTGACACAGTTTCTGTGGGTCGGGCATCCAGAAATAGCATAGTTGCACGATCCTAGCTCCAGGTGTCTTACAGGATGTGGTCAAGCTCCTATGTGGTACTAGTGTTACTGAGGAACTTGAGGATGGTACAAGGCTCAGTGTCCAGGTTGTCTCAGACCCAGGCCGAGTATTGCGTGCTGGTTGTGGCAGGAGACCTTTAGTTCTTTACCTTGTGGACCTCCCCACAGCATGGCTTGAGTGTCCTCATGATGTCATAGATGGCTTCTCCCAGAACAAGTGATCTAAGAGACAGGGAGGTGGAAGGTGACGGCTGTTTTGTGAAGTGCTACAGCACAGTGTGGCTCTTGTAACTCACTGGGCAGAACTCACTTAAATTAAATGAATGTCCCAGGTGACAGAGTGGATACTGTAGCCGAGAAGCAGGTGTAATGAGTCAAATGTATCTATTTTTGAGTGCTCTATATAGTTTTTTTTTTTTTTTTGTCGGTCGTGGGGCTTGAACTCTGGGCCTGGGTGCTGCCCCTGTCTTTTTCTCTCAAGGCTGGTACACAACCATGTGGACAGCTCCAAATCTGGCTGTTTGGTAGTGAATTAGAGATAAGACTCTTATGGACTATTCTGCTCAGGCTGGCTTTCAACCATGATTTTTAGATCCCTGTCTCTTCATGAGTCACTGGTGCCCAGCTTCTCATTACTTTTATTTTGAACAAACTAACTGAAATAAGCTTTCTCATGAAAAGTTCCATAGGCTTTTTTCCCCCAAGAGCTTTGTGCAGTTTGTAGTAAAAGCACTTACCAGAGTAGTATCACAAGAAGTACAAGTCTTGAAATGCAGTGGTTTTGTGTTTCTGGGAATAGTGGCCATTTTTTTTTTTGTCGGTCTTGGGGCTTGAACTCTGGGCTTGAGCTCTTCAGCTCAAAGCGAGCACTCTACCACTTGAGCTACAGCGCCACTTCCGTGGCCATTTTTTTTTGAACTGGCTTAATATATTGTATTCTGTGTAGGACTTTTATAGAAAAGATGATACGTATTTAGTTATAAATAGTGCCTATAGCAATTTCGATGTTTAAATGGGCACAGCAAACACTCAACTTCTATTTTCCCTGAAATTTCTTTTCTCTCTTTTCTCTTCTTCCTTCCTTCCTTCCTTTTTTCTTTCTTTCTTTCTTTCTCCAGTCTGGTTGCTTGAACTCAGGGCCTGGGCTGCTTTTGCCTACTGCTAGCACTCTACCACTTGAACCACAGGGCCACTTCTGGCTTTTTCTGTGTATGTGGTTCTGAGGAATCGGATCCAGGGCTTCATGCATGCGAGGCAAGCACTCTACCACCAAGCCACATTCCCAGACTCTGAAATTTCTTTCTTTTCTTTCTTCCTTCCTTCCTTTCTTTTCTTTCTTCCTTTCTTTTTTTTAAAAAAAACTGGCAGTTCTGAGTTTAGGGATAAGCCATCTAGAATAATCTCATGAAATATTAGACTAGGAAAACAAATGTTAGCAGAAGAAGAAATAAATGCAAAGCAGCCTGGCCCGAGCTGGTGCTTGCCAGCAGAAGTCTACAGGCCAATGTAGTCAGGGGTTAGTCTGCAGCAAGCAAGAGGAGCTAGGAAGGACCCATGCAAATCAGTCCACTTTCTCAAGAAAGTTACCTGTTTGGACAAGTATTTGTCCAGAGCCATAAGGCACTTTCCTGCCTGATTTGTGAAACTTGAACTTTGTTGTAGGTTATTTAAAGGTAGTATGTCTTGAATAAAAGGCTATGTGTTAGAAATGCCCTTGTAGCCCATGTCACTGAGTCAGTGTTATTTGGGGTGGGGGATGCTGGCTTGCCAAGTGAGAACTGGGGAGATGTCCTCACCCCTTCTTTGACTGATGAGTAAAACAATAGCCAGCCTGCTTAACAGGCTACCTGTTTGAAGGACTGTAGGTGAAAGAACAGAGGCTCTGTTTGCTAGGAATACTTCCTGGAAGCCTCTGGGCTCACATCCGGGGTTTCAGCGTCTGTGAGGTTTGGGCTTCCCTTCAGATTTTTATTGATCTTTTAAATAACATCCATTTGGCATTTTTTGGATACTAGGTTAGACACCACAAGAAATGCCTGGGAAACTCCCAAGAAGCATCCACAGGCTGGCGAGCTGGAATGCTCCCAGTGTTGTGAATTTTCAGTTATTTACCGAGTCCTGAAATTGTCAGACCCTCTTGAAAATGTAGGAGACTCCTTGTAGTTTAGGACTCAGGGAGACAAACCAGCGTTATTGCATGCTAGAAAAAATATGAACTGTACTAAAAAAATCCTCTTTGGTTTTCTTATAGTCCCAAATCCAAGAGTTTTGATTCAAGTCAATTTTAATGTCTCACTCATTAAAAAAATACATTTTCATAGTTCTCAAAGTATTGTTTTTGTATTTTGTGGCTTTTCTCATTTTCTGATGTTTTGTTTCTATGAATTATTTTTCATATTTCTAGTACTGTTTTTTGTCGGTCATGGAGCTTGGACTTAGGGTCTGGGTGCTGATTCTTCTTTATTTTATTTTTATTGTTATTATAAAGGTGCTGTCCAGAAGGGTTAAAATTACACAGGTAATTCATATATTTATTTCTGGGCAGTCCCATTCCTTTCCTTGATCTCTCCCAGATTCCTCCTCCCATCCCCATGTACAAATTGCATAATTCATTTTCAATATAGTATCTAATGAGTACTACTGAGGCATTTGTTCACCCTTTGTCTGTCCATTTCTGTGCCTCCTTGCCCTTCCAAAGACAGATAAATGAAGAAATTAGACAAAAAAGAAAAGAAAACAAATAGAGCAGTGAAGAAAAAACCCTCTTGTTTCCATTTCTTGGAGTTTATTTTGATAAATATAATTTTATATGATCAGATGCACATAAACATTGTGCCTTTGTGTTCTTCTGAGATTGTCCTGTTGTCTCATGTATTATGTATTATGTATTAATGTCTAGAGTCCTAAATGATAAATTGATCATGTTCCAGTAGATATTAGATCTAGCTTCTGCATATGGGTGAAGTGACATTATTAGTCACACTTCTTGTCTCCATATCTGTTTATGTGTCTTTGTTATTAGAATTTTGATCCAGTATCATCAAAAGATAGTAAAAATATTGAAGGTATATTTTGTATTTGTATAGATTGTATACATTGTTAATGGGCAATGTATTATAAAGTATAAATTTTACTGCTATATTAGTTTAAAATGTCCAAGGAGTAGGGAACTGACATGTTTTTTTTGTTGTTGTTACATACTTTGAACTGGCTTTGAACCTTGATCTTCATATCTGGGTTTCCTGAGTAGCTAAGATTATTGCTCTCGTCAGTTTCTTTTTTATTAGGAAGACTTTATCATTAATTCTTGCTCTTTTAATTTGTTTTCTTTATGGATATATTAAAATCTCTTTTAAAAAATATAGTCAATGGCTTTGATACTATTTTAGTTTTTCTTTAAAACTTCCCTTTGTACTCAAGCTTAATTTGCATCTTGCTGTTTTTCAACTCATTATGTTTTCTTTGTATGAACTTCTCTATGTCTTTGATAGAATTGGCATCTTCCTGCCTCTTTTGAGCGTATAACAAAGTTTATTTAAAATTAATTCATTTGAAGTTTCAGGGTATTTTTATTCTTTCCATAATTTTTTTCATGAGTCATAAATTGTCTTTTTATTTTTGTTTATTCCTGAGCTGAATATTTCTGTTAGCTCTAAGTAAGTACAAAAATGAATGAGTTTTTGGGGCTGGGAAAGTGGCTTAGTGGTAGAGTGCCTGCCTTGCATGCATGAAGCTCTGGATTCGATTCCTCAGCACCACATAGCAGAAAAAGCCAGAAGTGGTGCTATGGCTCAAGTGGTAGAGTGCTAACCTTGAGCTGAAGAGCTGAGGCACAGTGCCCTGGCCCAGAATTCAGGCCTCATGACCAACAAAAAAAATGAGTTTGACTCTCACTCTTTCTGAAGTCTTATGTGTTGATATTCTCTGGTATGTGATATTATCCTCATAATTTCTTTAAGTTATTTAGACATGTCCTCCTTTAGTTCTCTGAGCATATTTAAAATAAGTGATTTAAAAAGTCTTTGTCTCAATGAGTCCAAGATCTAGATTTCAAAATTTTTAAATTGTTATTTTAAAGGTGATGTAAGAGGGGTTACAGCTACATAAGTCAGGTTGTAGATTTCTTTCGAGATGGTTTTTGTTGATTGTTGGCCTATACTTTTGTATTTCTTTGCATATCTCATGATAATTTTTGTTGCAATTTGGATGTTTTAAATAATTTCATGAGGAGGCTGGAACTCAGATTCTTCTTTTCCCACTGGATTTATTGTTTCTGCGGCTTCTTTTTTGGGTCATTTAACAGTTAGCAATTTTCTTGAACTAAATTCTATAAAGATTAGATTCTTTGTTGAGTATGTCAATGAAAAGCTGTACTTAGCTTAATGGACAGTTAATGATTGCACATATGTTTCCTTGAATGTCTAGAACCCCTGTTTTCTGATGTTTGCCTAAGCATTCTTTTGTATTTTTGGAGACACCTTAGAATTAAGACAGATAGTTTACAACTTTGCCTTAGCTTCCACTTGGAGCATGCCTTGTACCTAATACCAGCCAGAGATTAAAGCATGTGAGTTTGGGGGTACTTTCTGAGCTCTTGGAGTGCATGCTAACCTCCATATCCACATGGACTGAAGTTACTAAAATATTAATTTTATTGTTATCTGTTTTTTGAGTCTATTGCTTAAAGAACTGGGCACGAGAAGCATGCAAGTTAGCATACTAAAAAGTTTATTCTTGTTAATGAAATTTATTCATTTTTATTGAATAAGTGCTCTTTGGATTGCTGCAAGCCTTTTAATAGTCAGTTTTGTAGCATGCAAATATGTAAGAAAGTAGGGTTCACACACAGAAAAAAGCTTTGTGTAGAAACTCTTATTGAGAAAGCCTGTGCTCTGAAGTAACTAAATGAATAAGAAAATAATTGTTTATCTTTTGCTGTTATACTTATTTTTCCAGAAAATCAGGAGAGGCTGTTTCTGGCCATTCTCATGTCATTTAAATCAGATCTTTTAAAAGTTAACAAAGAAAGCTCAGAAGCAAATGATATTTGTAAATCAAATGGACATAAAATACATCTATAGAGCATTTTGTCTAACAGCTGTGTAGTATACAATCTTCTCATTAGCTCATGGAACTTTCTTCAAAATAGGCCACTTTTTTAGGACATAAAATAAACTTAGCAAATACAAGAAAACTGAGATAACTCTGTGTATCCTATCAAACCACTAGGGAATTAAACTAGAACTTATAAGCAAAACAAGGAATTTGTTTCATTGAAGAAATAAAAAAGTTCCTGGAATCTATTTAAAAAAAACTAATCCACCAAACTTTTGGGATAGAGTAAAAGCAGTGTTAAGAGAAAGTGTAGAGTTATGAGTGCCTATGTTACAAAACAGAGGGCACACAAATAGCCTTCAGGATGTCCCTCAAGCATAAGCCAGGCTGGGAAGGTGGCTCAGTGGTAGAGCTCTTGCCTTGCATGCCTGAGGCCCTGGGTTCGATTCCTCAGCACCACATAAGCAAAAAGACAAAAGCTGGAAGTGGTGCTGTGGCTCAAATGGTAGAGTGCTAGCCTTGTGCTGAAGAGCTGAGGGACAACGCCCAGGCCCAGAGTTCAGGCCCCACGACCGGACCCCTCCCCCCCCCAAAAGACAAAAAAGAAGTATAATCCAAACTCCAAATTAGCAGATGTAAGAAATAATAAATTTATTAGGGTAGAGATTAGTTAAATGGAGACTGAAAAGCATATATACAAAGAATTCATGAAACAAGTAGCTGGTTCCTTCAAAAAATAAATAAGATAGATAAACTTTTAGTGACCAAAGGGAGAGAAGAGTCTCAATAAAATTAAATATGAAAAAGAAAATATCACAACAAATACCCAAGAAACCCACAAAGATCATAAGGAAATACTTTGAAAATCTATACTCAAATAAATTGGAAAATATAGAAGAAATGAATAAATTTCTAGATGCAGTTGACCTAACAAAATTGAACCAAGAGGATATACACAATGTAAACAGATCTATAACAAGCAATGTGATTGAAGCAGCAATAAAGAGACTCTTATAAAAGAGAAGCCCAGGACCAGATGGATTCACTGCATTTCTACCAGACCTATAAAGAAAACCTAACACCAATACTCTTTAAACTCTTCCTTGAAGTTGAAAAAGAAGGAATGCTACCAAATTCATGAGTTCATTCCAAATATGGAGATGTAACAAAGAGAATTACAGGCCAATTTTTTGATGAACGCCTACGCAAACATTCTAAATAAAATTCTTGCAAACTGGATGCAAAAACACATTAAAAAATCATTAAATACAACCAACATACCTCAATCAATAAGGACAAGGTTAAAGATAAGGAACACATAAACAGAATTAAGAACAGCAATTGCATGGTCATCTCAATTGAAGTTAAAGCTTTCAACAAAGTTTAACATCCTCTAGTGATAAAAGTTCTGAAGAAACTAAGAATGGAAGCAATGTACCTCAACATATAGCCAATATGATATTAACAGAACAAAACTGAAATAATTTCCCCCAAAGTTAGGAACAAACAAGGTGTCAGTGATCACTTTTTGTCAAGACAGTATTAAAATTCTTAATCAGGGAAACATAGGAGGAAAAAGAAATTAAAATGATTCATTATTTTAGGATTATTTTGATATTAAGATTGTAGTGGTTATTGGTGGTATACAATTTTATTTGTTTATTGGAAATGACTTTAACTTCTAGTCAGCCAGATTTTCAGTTGGTTTTCTTTTTCCTTCCAAATATGTGGTCACAAAATCCATTAATAATGACAGTTTGGTCTTCTCTCCTAATATTATTTAAGGCTCTTACTATGTTTTTCATATTCCATTGACTATGTGAATGTACTATTGTGAAATAAGACTTTTTTTGGCAAGGTTCTACTTTTTTGGCATTTCCACTTGTATGGATAAGGTTGGCTTTCTTCTGGTTGTAGCTTCTATTTTCTTGGAAAGGGCATTGTGTTTCATTGATTCTTTTCTGAGTATTTATTAAAATGTTCTTTTAAAAATGTGTTCATTTTTATTAATTTGTTAATCTCAAAAATCATCAATGTTAAGTAAACATGCTATAAGAAAAACAACATGAATGGAAAAAAAAACCCAGCAATGAGCTGGGTGCTGGTGGCTCATGCCTGTAATTCTAGCTACTAAGGAGGCTGAGTTCTGAGGATCATGGTTCAAAGCTAGCCCGGGCAGAAAAGTCCGTGAGACTCTTATCTCCAATGAACCACTACAAAACCAGAAGTGGCACTGTGGCTCAAGTGGTAGAGTGCTCGCCTTGAGCTGAAGAGCTGAGGGAAAGCACCCAGGCCCAGAGTTCAAGCCCCATGACCGACCAAAACCAAACAAAATCCAATACCCCAAAACACCCAGCAATGGATCCACATAGTTCTAGGAAAGTGTCCATTGGTGAAGATGTATTATTTCTAAGTAAATAACTTGACTTCAATGCATCTAAATATACAAGTGGGACAAGCTGTAGGTCTTTATATTAAGGTATTTAGTATGTGTTGAGAAATTTATTAACAGTATTTTTATTGTGAAATATTTTTTTAAGTTTAAATTTTATTGTAAAGGTGCTGTACAGAGTGGTCAAAGTTACATAAGTCAGGTAATGAGTACATTTTTTTGAACAGTGTTACCCCTCATTTTCTCCCACTTTTCCCCCTCCCAACCTTCCTCCCCCCACAAGCTGTAAACTTTATTTCCAACATAGTGTCTAGTGAGTATCACTGCTGAATTGGTTCACCCTTTGTACCACCATTTCTGATTCCTCATTACCTCCCCAAATCAGATAAATTTACAGAAATAAAAAAAATGACTAAAGGGAATAAACCCAAGGGGGAAAAATCTGTGAACAGTACAATAAAAAGTTAACTAGTCATCACACAAATTTGATGCTTTGTTAATTTTCAGTCTAAATTGTTTAAGTAAATAAAGCTTTCCAATAATACTTTCTTTCCTCCTATGTGGACAGTATTTCTAAGTTTGGTGTTTAACGTTCTTATGCTTTTATACGTTAATGATATATTTATAAAGCTAATATTTAAAAGTAATTATTTTCAGGCTTTCACATTTAGTATCTAGTCAGTGAAGTATCTATTTGTATCTATTTGTGAAGAATGAAGTCTTTGAGTCAGGAAGTCTTGGCTTTAAGTTTCCAAACTATGGTGTAGATTTTTTTTTTTTTTGGGTCCAGTCATGGGGCCTGAACTCTGGGCCTGGGCACTGTCCCTCAGCTCTTCAGCTCAAGGCTAGTGCTCTACCACTTGAGCCACAGTGCCAGTTCCGGCTTTTTTTTCTTTTTGCTTATGTGGTGCTGAGGAATCGAACCCAGAGCCTGGCATGCAAGACATGCACTCTTTTTTTTTTTTTTTTTGGGTCCAGTCGTGGGGCCTGAACTCTGAGCCTGGGCGCTCTTCAGCTCAAGGCTAGTGCTCTACCACTTGAGCCACAGCGCCACTTCCGGCTTTTTTTTTCTTATGTGGTGCTGAGGAATTGAACCCAGGGCCTCGAGCATGCAAGGCAAGTGCTCTACCACTGAGCCACCTTCCCAGCCCAAGACATGCACTCTTATGGTGTAGATATTTGTATTTCTATTTTCAGTTATGTTGGGTTTTGCTTATGCTTTGTCCCTAGTGCATTCTTTTATGACTCCTAAGTTGCTTTGCTCTCTTCTTATAATTAAATGATTCTCTTTTACCCTGGAAATATCCAATGTTTTGAGTCTATTGTATTTGAAATTGATATAGTTAATTTATTGCTATATTGTACCTTTGATGACAATGATTCCTGCCCACACTTTGTTGCTAAAAAGTGTTCCATATTGACATTTTCTTCCTGTGCCTCTCCTGGGGCTTGAGCTCAGGGCCTGGAAGCTTTTCCTGAGCTTTTGTGTTCAAGGTTAGTGCTCTAGCACTTGAGCCATAGCTCCACTTTCAAAAGCTCACTTTTGGCAGTCAATTAATGTTAAGAGTCTCATGGACTTTCTAGCCTGGGCTGGCTTTGAACAGAAATTCTCAGATCTCAGCCTCCTAAGCAGGTAGGATTATAGATGTGAACCACTGTCACCTGACCAGCTTGAAATTAGGGCCCCATACTTGTTAGGTGGAACACTCTTTTGCTCAGTCATACTTTAAGCTCTATTTTACACTGGTTATTTTTAGGGTATGTTTTGCTTTCCATGTAAGGAAGGTGCTGGGATGTGTCTTCTGAATGTTTTCCGTCATAGCTAGGATCACAGGAGTGTGCCACTATACCCATTTTCCCTCTATAGATAGACATTTTTTTTTTTTTTTGGCCTGGGCTTTCCTGGAGCCACATTTCTCCTTTTCTCAGTCTCCCAAGTAGGTAGGATTACATGTGTGAGCCACTGGTGTCTGGCTCCCTTTTGACTTTTGAAAGATACTTTCATTAGATGAAGGTTTTAGTGTGAGTGATTATTTTCTTTCAGCAATGGTACTTTGGATAAGCTGTTTCTTTGTCTTTTTGCTTAGTTCTGACAAGAAATCTGGCATATTAATGTCTGGCAATTAGTTTTTGATAATTTTGTCATGTTTTAATGTTTTGGATTTAATGTGTACTTTTCCTTTGAATCTTTATTCTAAGATATTTTCTTTACTCCTAGATTTCTTTTCTTTGATTACAAACGACCTGGTACAGTGTTCTTAATGTGATTCTCCTTGTAGTTCATTGAGTTTATTACATCAGAGGGTTTATAGCTGTTATGCAATTTGGAAAAGTTTTGGCAATTTTTTTTGTGTAATATTTTTTTCTGATCTCACCTAACCCTTTCCTGGAACTCCAATTAAATATATATTGTTATATATATATATATTTATATATATAACATTAATAACATATAATACATATATATGTATACATTAATAACATTAATACATATATATATATAATATATATATGTATTGTTAATACAACCAGTGAGATTTTTTTTTGGGTCCGGTCGTGGGGCCTGAACTCTGGGCCTGAGCGCTGTCCCTCAGCTCTTCAGCTCAAGGCTAGCGCTCTACCACTTGAGCCACAACGCCACTTCCGGCTTTTTTTTTATTTGCTTATGTGGTGCTGAGGAATCGAATTCAGGGTCTCAGGCATGCAAGGCAAGTGTTCTACCACTGAGTCACCTTCCCAACCCCAGTGAGATTTTTATTTAAGGTAATGTAGGTTTTATCTAGATATTTCATTTGATTCTTTTGTGCGCGCGCGCGCGTGTGTGTGTGTGTGTGTGTGTATGCATGCATGCTCCAAATGGGGCTTGAGTTTAGGTCCTCCCACTCTTGCTTAGCTTTTTTATTCGAAGCTGGTGCTCTACCACTTGGGCCATGCCTCCAGTCTAGAACCTTGCTGGTTAATTGTAGATAAGAGTCTCTAAGATTTGTCTGCCTAGTTTGCTAAGCCTCTTGAGTAGCTAAGATTACAGGTGTAAGCTACTGATGACTAGCTTGAATGCCTAAAACTGAGATGAAGGAAATAACTTTTCTGTTGATGTCTGATATGAGAATTTATAGTTTGGACAGAACCAGTGTCACCTTCTTTCTGGTTTATTGTTAATTATAATATGTGATTACCTTGTAATCTCAACTAAATAGTATGTACCATTGCAATTGGCCTTAGTAATGGTACAAAATACATCAAAAGTTGCATCCAGTAAAATTTAAAGTTACTTATATTTCCCTTTGCTCTCAATTGGATTAAATTTTAGTTTTCATTTAGCTTTGTTGTGCAGTATTTTACACTTTTTTGCTTTAATGGGTGTTTTATGATAGCTGATATTTTACTGGATTATCATAATTTAAATCTAATAATGTATCTATAGAGATCAACAGATTAAAAGTCCAGGAATTAGGAAAAAAAGCAAAATATTTTAATGTCTTTTTTTTTCATTACTCACTGGATGCTATTGAGTGGTTTTTGTTTCTCATTTACTGGTTTAATTAACATTTTTCTATACTGAATAATACACCTCAATGATTTTTAAATATTGGTATTGTTTAATTGCTTGTTTCTCTCCTCTTCAAGGAACTTGCTTTAATGGGCCTCAAATCACCTCAGACAGAAGTAGAATTGCCTCAGAAGGAAGCAAAGCCAGAGTCAGAGACAAGTGATGAAGAAACAGAAAAGGTGAAGTCTTTGATTTAAAAAAAGTCCTCCTTGCCAATATGAAAGTAATAATCTATCTGCTGTTGCTTGAAAGTTCCCTGAGCTCCACCACTTGAGCCACAGTGCTACTTCCAGTTTTCTGATGATTTATTGAAGATGAGAGTTTCATGGACTTTCCTTCCTGGGCAGGTTTTGAACTGTGATCCTCAGATCTCAGCCTCCTGAGTAGCTAGGATTGTAGGCATGAGCCAGCTGTACCTGGCTTTTAGGAGCATATTTATCTGTCACAAGTTCTCATCCAAGGCTACATGGGGAGTCTTGGAAAAGGTTTTTAATAGCTTACTTGATATAGAGACAAGACTGTCTAGAAGGTAGCTGGAGAATTAACTAAAAGTTATTAGCCAATAAGAAAGTGTTACTGTAGTCTGCCTTGAGCTAGAAGAAATGTTGCAAGTATGACAAGGGGAAACTTTTTTTTTCTAAGAAATATGGAAAATGGGTGACAGAGGTTTGCTTCAGAATTGAAGCTTCCATTTTGCCCATCCCTGGCAAAATAAGGGAGGAATCCAGAGTAAACCAGGACATACTCTCTAAATTGGATATATCTCTTTGAGTACAGAAATATACATTTAAGTGAAACAAATGTGATAGCGTCGCTCTATACATTTTATAAAATGCTAATAGTAAGTAGCAAACCCCTTTGGCTTTTGAAAATATGACTCCCCAATCTGAAAACTGAGCAGACACTGGCTCTGTAGGGTACCTTGTCATATTCAGAAAGTGTGTGGACCTTTGTTTTCACAAAGCCATGGACTCTGTAAGTTAGAGTTGCCACAGTTGCTAGAAGTGCTGGAGTTTGAGATACTTCTGGCTGAGATTGTGTCTTTTTCAACTTTGTTTTCTTGTCACCGGCTTCAGAATCCAGCATATAGTGGAACTAGTAGCCAGGTGGCAATGGTATGTGGATAAATCAACTCTGAAGCCTACAGCATGTGCTGTGAGTTTATATTAAGAATAAGCCTCTCACAGTAATACCACTTAGACCAAAGTCTCTGGTCATTAATCCTTTATAAGGCACACTGAAAAGACATGATCAGTTAGCCTAAGGAAAATAGAAGTCACTCATAGAATCAAACTGACTTAATACCATTCATTACATTTATATAATATATAAAGGAATATATTGTTTTAAAATAAACTATGAAAAAGGTCAACCATCAGGTACCTAGTTTAGGTATCATTTTGACTGTTTAAAATAAGGATTTAAACAAAAGTATTTTTTTGTAATTTTGTGGGAAACATCCTCTCAATTTTGCCATTCATAATAACCATCAATTATTTCCAGCCACTGCCTATTAACAAGGAAGGTAACCACTTTTTTTTAGAGGTAAATAGCTGTTGATATCCAGTGATGGCATAAAGACATACCATGGTATCTTTCATACCAGACATTTTCTTTCTCCCTTCCCTTCCCATCCTTTCCTTTCCCTTCCCTTCATCTCCCCTCCCTTCCCTTCCCTTCCTTCTTTCCTTCCTTCCTTCCCTCCCTCCCTCCCTTCCTCCCCTCCTTTCTTTCTTTCTTTTTTCTTTCTTCTTTCCTTTTTTATTCCCACTTGTATTCAACAGCAGAATTCTAGGAATCTGTCCTACCTGTCTTTTAGATTGTCCTAGAAGTTTCCCCTAGAAGTTTTAGGCTGAGATTTATGTGGGTGACACTGGTCAGCATACTGTCTCATCTGAAGAGGACCCTGTCATCTTACTGACACCTGGCCCTGGTCCTCAGAACATGGATGATTCAGTCCTCAGCATCTCAGTCCCTTGGATAAGAGCTCTCTCAGTTCTTTGGTGCAAGTTGATTTTATTTTTTGAAAGTATTATTGCTGGAATATCCTTCCTTCCTTCCTTCCTTCCTTCCTTCCTTCCTTCCTTCCTTCCTTTTTCTTTTCTTTCCTTTCCTTTTCTTTTCTTGTACTCATTAGGGTAAGTATAGCAGTTTCTGAATTGCGATGGTGAGTAATTTCCCCCCATGCTCACAATATAAAAATGGAGTTGACTTATATTCATTCTTTTTTATATTAGCATTGTTTTCCAGCATTGTTCCTTAAAGGAACTCATTTAAGGACTACTAGCCCAATACATAAAGAGACAAACTGGAATACTACTATTTAATTAATATTAGTAGAGACAAATTGCATATTAGTGGAAAAACATTGAAATTATTCTATTTAATACTCACTTGTTGATGAATAATTGCAGAATTTCTAGTGTGTCAAGTCCTTGAGATACAAAAGCTAAATAATACCTTTTTAGAGATAATTTTTTGAAGTTTCTCAAACTGAAGTTTTTTTTCTTTCTTTCTTCTTTTTGCCCATCATGGAGTTTGAATTCAGGGCCTGAATGCTGTCCCTGAGCTATTCTGCTCAAGCCTAGTGCTCTACCACTTTGAGCCACAGCTCCACTTCTGGTTTTCTAATAATTAATTGGAGATAATAGTCTCACAGACTTTTCTTTCTTTATTTAAAAATAAGTTTTTTTATTGTGAAAATACTGTTACACTCACATGAGCAAGGTAATGAGTCATTTTTTAAAAATTGTCATTTTTTAAAAATACCCTATGGAGGGGTTACAATTACATGGACAAGGTAATGAGTACATTTCTTATCAAGCATTGTTGCCTCCTCCTTTGTTTCCCCTTCCCATCCCTTCCCATCTCCTCCTGCCCACCTCACTCCCTTCTACCCCCATCCCTGGCCAAAGTTGTAAAGTCTGTTTTTCGACATAACGTCTTGTAGATCTCATTGTTGCAATGGGTCCACCAGTATCCCTATTTAAACAATTCGCTTTTCCCCTTCCCCTCCACAAATTATACCAACATCAAATACAGTGAAAACAGGGCTTATACCATGGGGAAGGGACATACAAAGCAACAAAGAAATATCTTATAAATATGTTAGGCACAATAGCAAGAAAGAAAAAAAACATTTGAGTCCTTAACTTAGGGTTCATTTCACTTAATGACATTGCCCCATTTGTTAGGAAATGGAAAGACTTGGAAAAAATTACATTAAGTGAAGTAAGCCAAGCCCAAAGAAACATAGTCCCATGGTTTCCCTTATTTGCAATAACTAGTATATGTCTGAGTCAAGCAGAAAAGGTCAGATAAGTTGATGTTAAGTGAAATGAGTACATTTCTTATCAAGCATTGTTGCCTCTCACAGACTTTTTTACCCAGGCTGGCTTTGACCCTCAGAACTCAGCCTCCTGAATAGCTAATGAGAGCCACCAGCACTTGGCCTTCAAACTGAAGTTTTAAGTGACTCAAACTTGTTCATTCTAAGATGACTTCTCACATTTAAAAATTACTTTAAGGTTGGCTAACATGTCTTATGCTGGTAATTTTAGCTGGAGGTAGAGATTAGGAGGATCAAAGTTCGAGGACAGGTGGGTGAAAAATTTGAGATTTTATCTCAACAAACAAGCTAGGTATTGTTGTAGGGGCCTATAATCTCAACTGGGTTGGGAATATAGATAGGAGAATCTTGATCTGAGGCCAGACAAGACAAAATAAAATGAGAATATCTAAAAAACTAATTTAAAAAGAGCAAAAAGGATTGGGTCATCATGAACTAAATAGTGGATTGCTTATCTAGCAAGCACAAGATCCTGAGTTCAAGCTCCAATGCCATCAAAAAGTATTTTTAAAGACCCCAAGATGTTTTGTAGATATGTGTTATCTCAACCAATATTTATCTATTAAAAAGAGAAAGTTTACAGCATCATTCATCTAAAATAATAACATAAAATGACTTTTAAAGATTAAGACATATAAAAATTTGGAATGAGGGCTGGGAAGGTGGCTCAGTGGCAGAGTGCTTGCCTTGCATGTATGAGGCCCTGGATTCAATTCCTCAGCACTACATAGGCAGAGAAAGATAGAAGTGGTGCTGTAGCTCAAGTGGTAGAGCACTAGCCTTGAGCTGAAGAGCTGAGGGACAGTGCCCAGGCCCAAAGTTCAGGCCCCACGACTGACCAAAAGAAAAATGGAATGACATTAATTTTTGTATGTATGATTTTACAGACACCAGATTCTCATATCTGCTTTTGCGTTCAATCTGTAGCAATATAATCTTTGGGTCAAATTATAGATAAAATGTCACTTCATATAGGTGAAAGGGAATCATATTTTTTATAGTCTTCTAATTCTTTCTCAATGATCAGAGTTCCACAAGTGGGAGTTTCTTAAAGATTAGTTGTGAGGAGTGAGGGAGGTGGGGGAGGGAAGGGATAGTAGGAGAAAAACAAAGAAGGGGGTAACAATGCTTGACAAGTAATGTACTCATGTAACTAGCCCCTCTGTACAGCACTTTTACAATAAAATAAAATAATATTAAAAAAAGATTAGTTGTAATTTGTTATCTGAAACAGAAACATATATACATACATATATACATACATATATACACATATATACACAGAGACACATATGCATATATACACATATATACATTTATATATACATGCATACATAATTACAAACACACACACACACACACACACACACATATATATATATAAAACATATGATTATTGTATATCATGATATCCATCTTGGTCTGTGAGCTATTTTTATTTACCCTAATTGATTTTGTAATCTCATGAGCTAATCATTGTTTCAGTGAAATTTACGGTTGTGAATTTCAACAATGAAAAGGTGTAAAACAGGCTGGGAAGGTGGCTCAGTGGTAGAGCGCTTGCCTTGCATGCCAGAGGCCCTGGGTTCGCGGAAGTGGCGCTGTGGCTCAAGTGGTAGAGTGCTAGCCTTGAGCTGAAGAGCTGAGGGACAGCACCCAGGCCCAGAGTTCAGGCCCCATGACCGGACCTCCCCCCCGCAAAAAAAGAAAGAAAAGGTGTAAAACATCACAATATTGCAATGAAAGCATTTTTGACATTGCAAACCTCCCAAAAGAGTCTGAAGGGGACCTACAGGAATCTATAGATTACATTGAGAGCCAAAAGGGAAATAGGTAAAAGAGCACATCTTTGAATCAGGTTGTGGGCATGTAAACAAACCTTTCCTGTTTATACAAAGTATGACTTTGAATAAGTAATGTAACTTCTCTAAGCCTCAGTTTCCTCTTTCCTGTGATGGGTTCCATGGAGTTCTTGCTCTGGAGCTGTGCTGAATGTTAGAATTCGGTGAGATAATGCTCATATCTCTTGGATATTATCATGATGATGATGATTGCTTAGGCAGAGCTCAGTTGTCATGCTTTACTTTATTAATTTAGACATCTTGGCCCAGCTACTTTTTCTTGCACAATGAAGAAGTTGCAGTGTTTGGCACTGTATGGAATTTTAAAGTTATTTCTATTTTTAAACTTTATTTTATTGTAAAGATGCTGTACAGAGTGGCTACAGTTACATGGGTAAGGCAATGAGTACATTTCTTGTAGATAATTGTTACCCCTTCCCTGTTGTTGTCCCACTATCCCTTCCCTCCCCCACCTTCCCCACTCCTCCCCATCCAAAGTTGTTTTAAAGGTGATGAACGGCGGGGTGGGGGTGGGGGTGGGGGTTGGGGGTTGGGGGTGGGGGAGGAGGGGGTCACAGTTGCATAAGTCAGGTAATGAGTACCTTTCTTTTTTTGTTTTGTTCTGAGGACATTTCTTTTTTAGACACCCTTTCCCTCATTTTATTTTACTTATTTGCAAATGAGTTTATCAGAGACAAAAATGATACATTGCATCTTAGTCATCCTATATAATTCAGACTTTTAGGTAAACCAGACTAATTTTTTCATTTACCACATTGAGGCAGTGGATTCTAACTTGTAGTGATTTGTAATTCCAAATAGTCTTGATTTGAAATGAATACCCAAACATTGCCATAAAAATACTTTCCTTAGGAGTTGTTGAGATCCTATTACAAGCCACTAAGACACCTTCATTCATTCATTCATTAATTTTTTGTGATTTGAACTCAAGGCTTTTGACTTGTGAGGCAGAGGTTCTACTGTCTGAGCCATACTTCCAGGCCTTCTGTGTTCTGGTTATTTTTGAAACAGACTTTAACTTTTTGTCCAGAAAATGCTCTTCTTATTTACACTTCCTGCAGTAGCTGGGATGCCAGGTACATGCCACCATGCCTGGCTTTCTCTATTGACAAGGGATTGCTCCATCCCTAACACGCCCCCCTCCCCCAGTAGAACTAAGGTTCCTCCTATCTCTGCTTACTGAGAAGCTGGGAAGCGAGAGGTACTAGGCTAGTGGGACATTTTCCTTAGCATAGTAGGCATAGACATTTCAAGAGCAATTTTTACCTGGGTATGGGATAGATCTGTGGTGACTACTGCCCTTCTGTAGCCTGTTCAGCATTTCCCTGAGAACTGAAGTCAGAGTTCTGGGAAGAACAGCTCCTTAGTAGAAATCCCATTTATCAGGATTGAGCAGTTCTCCACTAGTTAGTGTGCCCAAGACGGACAAAGCACCAACTTGGATAATGAAATAAACTGTCCTGTGGTGCTTTGTGTGGACTATATACTAGCTTCACTCTGTGAGTGTTTGCTGGTGTCTGGGTAAGACCCGAGTCTTGTCCTCTTCTTACAGGTTTTGTGCATTTACAACTGTAGACTAGGTATATTTTTCTGAGGCAGAGGAAAATAATTCCCGAACCTTAACGTTTAAAAGTCAATCTGCATTGATCAAAATCTGTATCAGAAATTTACCACCTTGGTTCAGTTTCAAATCTGCATTGTTTTGATTTTGTTGAAACAGAAAGACATTGTGTAACTGAAGGCTTTGGAAGGATTAATAAGAATATGGTTGTGTGTTTACTTTTTCCAGCACAGTATGGGTGATGAGCTTACCGATGCGGTGTCAAGTATTTTCCAGATTGAACAGGAAGATATTTTAGATTGGACAGCCGTGGACACAGAAAGCGCCGAATTTAAATCTCAAGCAGTATCGAAAACTCATCCAGAGGAAGAATCAGGGAGACCATTGGAAGAGATACATCCTACAGTTGATTTAAAAACAAGCAAGAAAACATCTTTAAAGGTAACAACAGCAACAACAACACTGTACATATTTAATCCTCAAACCTAATTTATGTTGCAGAAAATGGTCCAGGCAAAGTGGAAGGTACGGAGACTGAGTTCACTGTCAAAAGGAACCTGGGAAGTGCAAATTTTCCAGTTAGTAAAAGAGCATATATTTGTTGAGAGTGCCTATTACTAATCCTAATTAATTCCAACACTGGAAATTTAGATTTTTTTTTTTTGAGAAAAGAAGGGATCTTGGTTCTTGTTAGAACCTGACATTTCAAAGGAATCAGGAACTACATACAGTACAGGGATCACACTTGGAATAATGTCTTTGCCCCACTTAACATGTATCCTGATGAGTCTCTTCCTCTTGCTTAAAGGTTTCCCAGATTCATTTCATTTATGTATCATTTTTATAATTTTTTTTAACCAAACTTACCCATTGCTCTATTATTATCTGTTATTACTTTGAGTCAGTGATATTTTGGCTTAAATATACAAACTTATTTTGTTTTAAAAATATTTATTTATTTATTTAGTTTGTCATGGGGCATGAACTCAGGGCCTGGGTGCTGTTGGAGCCACAGCCCAACTTGTAGTTTCCTGCTGGTTAATTGAGGATAAGAGTCTCTTGGACTTTCCTGTCAGGACTGGTATAGAACCATGACCTTCACCTTTCAGTCTCTTGAGTAGGTAGGATTACAGGTGTGAGCCACTGCCCCGGCCATAAACTTATTTTAAAATTAAGTATTAGTGGTATTTTAAAAAGGCTCTTTTTCCAGCATATCATCTTAGTTATCACCAGAGACCATCCTCTGTATGACTAACTTCTGGGTGAGAGCTTCCTGAGCACCCTTTCCTGGACCCTGTGGTTTTGATCCTGATGTTCTTTGTCCAAGTCAACTGGACATTACTAGTTATACAACTTTTTTTTTTTTTGGTCCATCATGGGACCTGAACTCTGGGTTTGAGCGCTGTCCCTCAGCTCTTCAGCTCAAGGCTAGCGCTCTACCACTTGAGCCACAGCGCCACTTCTGGCTTTTTTTTCTGCTTATGTGGTGCTGAGGAATCAAACCCAGGGCCTCATGCATGCAAGGCAAGCACTTTACCACTGAGCCACCTTCCCAGCCCTAGTTCTACAACTTTTGCCTGGAATTCTGGAGGCTAAAACCTGGGCTTTGTCTGTGACCTATCACTTCCCTAGCCTTTCACATATAATCAGTCTCCAGAAGCTTAGATTATTCTCAAATATTACTAATTTTTCAGTTTCTCTCTTCCCTGGTCTGTGTCCTAGTGACCTTATTCTGGATTAGTGTCTTTTGGTTTTTCTTCAGTTTTCAAGCTGTACTCTCTTAGGTTTATCCTGTATAACACTAGCCTACCGAGCTTCTGGGGAAAAAGTAGGTAACAAGGGAGACTTATAAGTAAGGATTTACCAGAGAAAACTCACCATGGCTCTCAATGAGAAATGTCTTATCCTGTGACTGTGACCAACTCCCATCAGCAGTCCTGCTGTCTGTCTGAAGCAGGACTTTGCGTATGAAGTGAAGCCAGCCAAGGCTAAGTGAAGTACCCCTGGGGATTCCTGTGTTTAGACTGATGCTCTCTTGGCATCTAGAGATGATAGCATCTTGATGAAAAGTGTTAGGCTATGAGGCACAGAGGTAGGGTCTTCATGTATTCTGCGTAAACATTGTGATTTTGGGAATAAATAAAAGCATAACTGGCAAATTGGTAAGCTACTCAGTATGTCAAAGGATGAAATAGATATTCTTCAACACCATGAATTTAAATCTATCCTAGAAAAGTCCAGTAATGCTATTTGGCTTATGATAACTTCTATTAAATATTTGAAAAGAGACTGTGCAAAATTACTTGTTCCTAGTTAAAAGACACAGTCCTTTCCTAAGGTAACTAGAATTGAGTGCTTACCATCCAGCGACTTTGCTAAATGTTTTATGTATTTTGTCATATTTTTTCCTAATAACATCCTTACTATTACCCCATTTTGTAATTGAAAATAATAGCTAAATCATGCGAAGATATCTAACTTGGAGAGGCAAGTCTGACAGAGGTATTCTAATACTGCAATTTCAGTTTAGCCATGTTGCCATACTGCCCATTCATAATAGTAAATAACAAATGTCTAGTTAAGTATAAGAACAAGCTTGAGTTAAGCATGATGGTGTATACCTGTGCGGGCTATTAAGGAATCCTAGGAGAGAGAGAGAGAGAGAGAGAGAGAGAGAGAGGAGAGAGGAGAGAGAGGAGAGGGAGAGGGAGAGAGAGAGGAGAGGGAGAGGGAGAGAGAGAGGAGAAAGGAGAGAGAGGGAAGATGAAAGAGGAGGGAGAGAGAGGTTGTGGAGATATGTTAGGGAGGATGTCAGAAATGCCATGAAAACACTAAAGTATTTCTGTGATTCATTCCAACAAGTTGTTACCAAGAATCTTATGTTCACTTGTGTGAACATCTCAAGAGCAAGTATTACCATGAACTTTAACCTTGTGTGTGGGCAATAAAATTAGCCCCATCATCTCTGGTACAGGAGTGACCAGGACAGGTGTTGCGGTGGGGGGAATAAGAGTTTTGGATGTAGTAAACAGATCTAACAATGAGGTATTAAGGCCTTTAGCTGCTTAGATACATGCTCGAAGGCCTCCTTCAGCAAAAAGTAGAGAATGTGGACAATCCTATTCTGTTGGTCATTTCTTTCTATTCTTAGAAGCTCATTAGTACTCTGGTCTAAGTCACTACCAATAATAGTGACTTCATGAAGAAACAAATGGCCAGTAAAAAGATTGATGAGAGTTTTATAAAGGAAAATATCTGTAAAAATAGGTTTGATCATGTGATCTGGAATTCTAAGTGGAAGAAGACAATTTATAAGTGTAGGAAGCTCCAAATCCCCCAAATTCTCACCAAACAACTATGAGTGACTGACTTGATCGAGTCTCACAAAGATGCAAATGATGAAAGAAAAATACATATCCACAAATAAACACAAATGTGGAATGTGCCTGTAAAATTTTATACCAAGAAGGCTGAAATAAGAAGTTGGTTGAGGCCTGTGAATAATGTGAAGAATACAAAAAGGTGATTTTCATGTTAGTTTTGCAGCGAAGTGTGTGGTGTGTGTGTGTGTGTGTGTGTGTGTGTGTGTGTGTTTGTGTGTGGAGAATGACAGCCTATCATTAGATCCGAAGAGTGTAATGACAGCAAATGACAAAGCAGCCTTAATTTACTTTTGGAAAAAGGTTGTGGTCTGAAGTGAACAGAATATACGACAGAAAAGGAAGCTGAAAACTCACACTTCACTTGTTAAATCTGGCAAGGAAAGTGATCTATAGTTTAGAAAGAAGAGAAGAAAAGTTGATTTTAAAAAGCCCTTCAATCCCAAGATTTATGAAAGATGTTGAGTTAACACAGAACCAATAGGCTTGGAGAGGTAATTTTCTCCTGCCAGGTTCAGCAGTAGCTTTGAGAAGCCAATATTTCTCAAAGTGCTAGAAGGTGGGAGGGAGGCTAACCTGTCACTGAAAATCTGGCTTTCTTTTTTTTAGGGTAAAGGTTTTGATTTCTGCAACTGATGTGCGTTTTTTGACAAAACTACATGATGATGAAAGAACGTATTAAATGATTTGTGTTTGAATTCTTATCCAAAATGGGAAGGGTAATCACTTGGAACAAACATTCCCTAAGAACAAACCATGGAAGACTAACCTTGTTTCTTCTGGAATTTCTAGACCCAATATCAGAAGAGTGTCACGTGTGTGTTCGACATAAGAGACTCCTGGGAAGGTCACAGGCTCTGGATCCACATTTCCGGGGACAGAATTATGTCTCTCTCCTTTAAAAGTGGTGTGGCCTTAGATTACTGCTTGTATGTTTATGTTGTTTTCATGAGAAGAATGACAGTGCTAATGTCTTCATGCTGTTGTGAGGAGTGTATGTTCCTAGAACACAGAAAACTCAATAGGTATTAGTGATTGCTATTATTCTGTGAACTGAAGCAATCTATTTTTTCCTTATCTGGTATTTTTAATTTTAAAAAAATTTTATTGTGAAGGTGAGATACTGAGAGGTTACAGCTACACTTTTTTTTTTTTTTTGGTGGTCGTGGGGCTTGAACTCTGGGCCTGGGCATTGTCCCTCAGCTCAAGGTGAGCACTCTACCACTTGAGCTACAGCGCCATTTCCGGTTTTCTGGTGGTTTATTGGAGATAAGAGTTTCACGGACTTTCCTGCCTGGGCTGGCTTTGAACCGTGATCCTCTGATCTCAGCCTCCTGAGTAGCTAAGATTACAGGCGTGAGCCACCAAGTGCCCCGCATGAGTACATTTCTTTTGAACAATGTCACTTCTTCTCTTGTTTTCTCCCAGGAGCAATCTATTTACGAAAGCCTCCTCAAAGTTATTAGAAGGGGTAGCAGTTAGGTGAACTGCTGGATGGATTTCTAATTAGCATATGAGACAGAATGCAAATGATAGAAATGATGAAACAGTGCTCTTGTCAAGCACTATCTCATATATAATTGGTGCATGACAGTACCTAATAGAATGCCATAGGACTGTGTCCTATTTCCACTTACGTTTCCATAACTTGGATTAAAATATGGAGGAACTACTTACTGGATTTTTAGGTAACACCCAAACTAAGATCAAGAAAATTTGTTTGGTCAAACCTCTGAAGAACCTTAACTGGGATAAATACATGCAAGGTTCTGTCTTTGAGTCCATAAATGAAATAGGATGATAGCGCTCAACAGTAGCAGTGGTGAAAGACTTCAGGGTTTTAATCAGCAATGTCATTTTTGCTAGGAATACAACTGGTGGATAGATGGCCTGAGAATCATCTTTTTACTGGATGATGATCTAATCATATCACACCTCAAATACTGTGTTCAGATCTGAATGTCCAACATCAGGAAAAACGGACACGTTAGAGAATATTTGAAAGAGAACATTGAAGATGATAAAGCTTGGTACTTCAAAACAATGCCATATCAAGTAGAGTTGAAGGGATAGGGATGTTTTCTCCAGGCGAGGGGCGGGAGGGGGAAGATAGCCCAGAATGTATTGAATCAATACATTCAAGTATTGATTTGACTATAGAATAGAGGAGAGTTAGGTTGTGCCTGTATGGTTTCTAAGGTTTGAATTAGGACTGGTGGGAGGAAGTGATTAGGTTCAGTAATAAAGAAAGAAACAATGCTAGCAACTGAAAGAGTTTCAAAGAGAACATGGCAAACTGTGTGTACTGACCTTTCCATACTAGACAGTGTTTAAGCCAGTTGATGACTGGAGGTGGAGGTACTATAGAGGAAATTCAGACATTAACTGGCAGGTAAGATAGAATTCTGTGTGAATCTGGAACTTTCATTATTCCTTATTATAGTGGGCTATTGTGATAGATCATTCATCTTTTTTTTTTTAAAAGCAAAACAAGGCCAAATCTTGCATCTTATTTATAAGAGCTGTTTGTCTGGCTCCTTTCCTACTGTTTAACTATCTCTCCCTACCCCGAACCCCCGCCAGGGCAGACCTCCCTGCTTTCTTCCTGAAAGTTAGTTTAAAAAATACAGAGCAACCCAAGGAGGAAATTTTTTTTACAAGAATAATTACCATAACTTGTAGGAATGATTACCATAAATTGTAGGAAATCTAGGAAAACAATACTCCCAATACTTGTAACTATTGAAGGTTCTATTATTTATGAGACAGAGTATATTTAGTTTTAGCCAAGCTGTAGGAAAAGAAAACAGTACAACTGAGATACAAATTAATAATTTTACTCAAAATAGTAATAGAAAGCACCAAAGTTTCTTTTGGCTTGTGTTTATAATCAAAGACTGCCCAACTTTAAGAAACTAATGACAAATTCTATTAAAAATATCTTGGTGTAGTGTAGGTAGAAAAAAAAGGAAAGACAGATACAAAAGAAAAAATATAAGGCAGAGTAGCTGGAATGTAGCTCAGTGGTAGAGTGTTTGTTTAGCAGGTATGAGACTCTTGCTTTAATCCCTAGCACTCGGAGAAAACAAGCAAGGAAAAGAGGTATTGTTTTTGGAGGCTAAAATATTCATGGTAATAAATGAAAATTATTGTAAACAAAATATTTACTAATATTTTTTATTTCCAAGAAGTTTTATACATAAAATTTAGGAATGGACTTCGAGGGAAATAGCTTACTTTTGGATTTACATTGTTGTAAAGTGAACATAGAAACAAAGAACTTAAGAGTATGAGTGAATGATCTTCCAGCATTATAACTTCCCTTAACAACTTATTTTCTGTTTTCTTAAGGTAGATGCATCAGAATTCTTGCAAATCAAAGGAGAAGAAATTAAACCAATACGGAAAGTGAAATTTGGAATTCCAACACCAAGAAAGGCTTTAAAATCCAGATGGCGCCATTACAGACGAACTAAAAAGTAACTTTATTAAATTGACAAATTTTACCATTTGAAGGACAGTCATTCAGTAGCTTGATTCATGAAAATGCATATTTTAGAAAAGGAAAATCCAGTGTGTTAGTAATTCCTATATGATACCTGAGTTTAAATTTCTAGAGACAAAGTTGGTAACAGGTTTTGGAGTTAGGATATAGGCTTTACTGCAAGCTTTCCTCTATTACAGTTTTTAAAAAATATTTTTATTGTAAAAATACTGTACAGAGTGGTTACAGTTACATGAGTAAGGTAATGAGTACATTTCCTATCCAGCATTGTTACTCCCTCCTTTGTTTTTTCCCTACCATCACTTCTCTCCCCCCTTCCCCCCCTCCCCTGCCAAGTTGTAAAGTTCATTTTCTACATAGTGTCTTGTACATCTCATTGTTACAATGGGCCAACCTGTATCCTTGTTTCAGCATTTTGTTATTTCCCTTCCCCTCCCCAAATTAGAAAAATGTATATACAAGATTCAGGGCACCAATAGCAAATGCAGTGAAAACAGGGGTTATACCGAGGGGGAGGAACATATAAGAGAAACAAAAAAAAAATCACATAGTACATTTTAGATACATTAAAAACAATAGCAAGAAAGAAAAAAAAACAAGTTGTGTCCCTATCTTGGGGTTTATTTCACGTAACATCATCTTATACGGTCATATGTACATAGCTTTTGACCTTTTCTGCTTGTCCTCGACTTATACTAGTTATTGCAAATAATGGAAACCATGGGACCTATGTTTCATTGGGCATGGCTTACTTCATTTAATAGATTTTTTTCCAAGTCTTTCCATTTCCTAACAAATGGGGCGATGTCATTCTTTCTGATGGAGGAATAGAATTCCATTATATATACCAATTAATGCTTTTACACTTTATCAATGTAACAATGGGACTCAAAATAGCTTTTTGTGGGACTAAAGGAAGTGAAAAGTTAACATTTTAGATTCCAAATTTTGGTCACTTCAATAGTTGATTTGGATTAACTGCTTTCTCATATTGGTTCATTTTGTTATGATAAAGTATAAGACAACCCAACACTAAATGTTTCTCGGCTACTCATGCTAGTAATTTAGATAGCTTTCTCTCTCTCTCCTCTTGTGTTTTAATGGGGTTTCTTATTACACAAGAATGCACAATTTTGGACAACAATGTATAAAGATATCATAGGATGGTTTACCTTTTACCATTCACCTTGTTGAAACTCTAGTTTTCTCCTTGTTTCACTACTAGGGCTTTATGGGTTGGTTTATTCTAGATTATTCTTCATTTAACTGTTTATGGGGCTTTAAAGAAGCTTTAATTATTAGCTTTTGTTGTTGCTTGGGGCACTGAAAGGCATGTTGAACATGGAAGACAGCTGTTTTTATGGCCAGCCTAAACTTTGTAAATGGATGTTACTCACTATTTAGTGGCTGAGAATAGACTCATGGGAAAAGAATTCCAAAGTCGATGAAACAGAGGAATTGGCATTTAAGTGACCCTGTACATGCCACTGCTTATCTGCATTGCTTTGAGCTCATTTAGTTAGCAAGATTATGTATTAAAACAAACAGTCACAGCAGACAACAAGTACTTTACTTTCAATAAATAGTTACTGTCAGATTATCAATGAAGCAGAAACTTCTTGATTTTAACCTCCCCTAAAACTCCTTGCATTTAGTGCATTAAGCAAAGTAGTATGGCCACACACAGAGCAAGGGTCTTTTCTTTTTTATGTCAGCATTTCAAAGAATGACAAATAGTCCTGCTTAAGGAGATTGTGCTGTAAAAACACATAACCTTTCTTGAGCATGCCCAAAATATTTCTAGATCTTATTGATATATGTAATGTTATTTTAATTCATTGAAACTGAAATTAGAAATTTCCATTGCAGAGAAAAGAATGAAATGCAAACGAAGAAAAATTCTGATGTTTGAATAAGAAAAGATAATTTTGGGAAAATGTTCCTGAAATCTTTAATTCATAGCTCCTTTTTCCTTCAATCAATTGTTAACTTTTCTCTGGTGATTTTCTCTTGAATGGTATTCTTGGGAATCAAACTCTTGGTGGCAGGATATGGTTATTTAGCTCAATAACCAAGGGAGATTCTTTTACTAATTTATGTTGTTAGACTATAATGGGATCATAGGAATTCAGACCTGTTGCAATGCTTTTTTAAAGAAAAGAAAAGTCAGTAATGTAATCTCAAGCACATTCCACTAGCCAGGACCTGTCTGGGACAGAATGATGATATAAATGAGCTTGACATGGGGGCTCACCTTGTTGTTTTCTCTCCTTCTCTCTCCCTCCCTCCTTTCCTTCCTTCTTCTATTTCTCTCTCTCTTTTGTCTAAGCTTTTTTTTTTTTAAGGAACTCAGAAGCCAGGTGCCGATTAAAATCTTAGCTCACACAGATAATCCTAGCTACTCAGGAGGCTGAGAACTGAGGATCACAGTTTGAAGCCAGCCTGGCAGAAAAGTCCTTGAGACTCTTCCTTCCAATAAACTACTCAGAAAAAGCTGGCGCTGTGGCTCCAGTAGTACAGTGCTAGCTTGAGCAAAAGAAGGTCAAGGACAGTGGCTAGGCTTTGGGCGTCTGAAAGAATGTAGGTAAAGAAACAACTACAGAAGGCTAGCACATAGCAGGCACTCAATAAGTATTTGCCGATTGGATGGCAAAAGCAGATCATCATGACTTCTTGTGTGTGTGTGTGTGTGTGTGTGTGTGTGCGCGCGCGCACGCTAGTGCACGCTCGCTCATCCTGGGGCTTGAACTTAGGACCTGGGCACTGTACCTAGGTCTTCTGATCAAGGCTAATGCTCTACCACTTGAACCACAGCTCCACTTTCAATTTTTCTTTTTCTTTTCTTTCTTTATTTTTGTGCTTAATTGAAGATAGAAGGCTCATAGACTTCCATTCCCAGGCTGGCTTCGAACTGTGATCATCAGATCTCAGCTTCCTGAATAGCTAGGATTATAGGCATGAGTCAACTTGTTTCTACTTTAAAAGGCAGGGGAGACACAAGTTTCAGAGAAGTGGATGGAACCTATCATGTCAATGTAGCAGGACATGGTATGCCATTGGCAGATGGTAGATATATATTCAGGGACATTACTGTTTGAGCAGAGGAATCCACCATGGCTGGACATGGTGTTCTTGGACTGAACCATAGAATTCAAGACAGAAGAGGCTTGCAGTGGGATAGTAGTGAGTTTGCTTTAGAAAGACATGTGGATTGAGATTTTCAGCAGGCAGTTGGATGACTAGTTCTGTATCTGCCCTCCTACTTGTAAGGTATCTTACCTGGAGCTTGACTTGAACAGTCACTGTAAGTGTACTTCATATCTAGATTCTACCCAGTAATGAATGAAGCTCACTTGCTTTCTTTTCCTCCAGAATGCTACCGGGCTTCATCCCTCCTCACATTCATGATCTTTGCAAGACCATCCCGGCCCAGGAGCTGCCAGTTGAGCTGTACCTGGCTTCTCGTGTGCTCTACACTGCTGACAAGATGAGTCACAGGAATATGCTCCGCACACTTGGGCCGTCTTTCTTAGGTGATCGGTTTACAGATGAGCAAAGAGAGAGGTAAGAGAATCTTAAAATATTAAATATTAATCTAAATAAAACTTTTCAATATTAAATTTTAACAGTATTTTAAAAGATCAGTTTTTCTTGCCCTTAAAGCATTGTCAGTGACTGACCTATACTTGTCATGGGATGCTCTGAACCCATTTCCTCAAACATGATTTTTAGTAAAAATTGGAGCATTCTGTTAAATTCTTTCATGGTTTAAAAATAATGGCCCAATTTCCTGGTGTTCAGTAATAACATTAAGCTTTTATTTGAATTCCTAAAAGGCAGAACTCAAACCAATTTTTATTCAGACAAAATATATTTTGAAGATTCAAGGGTCAGTTATAATTTTATGCATCTGAAGTCCAACTTTCTTTTTGTATCAGTGTTTTCCCTCATAGTTGGTACTCTACTACTTGAGCCATACCTCTAGTTCAGTTTTATGCTTGTTAAGGAGATATGAGTCTCTTGAATTTGTCTGCTCATGCTGGATTTGAATCATGATCCTTCGATCTCAGCCTCTTGAGTTACTAGCATTCTAGGTGTGAGACTGGCACTGGCAAAGTCTTATTTTAATTCATCAAGTCATTGTTTGATAACTTTTTGATAAACATGGGAACCATTTTTGGAAATTTCAAAACTATTTCAGGATGTCTCATAAAAAATAGTAGTTCAGGAAAATAGTCTTTAGGATTTCCCCTAAAAGCTTAAAATTGGGAGTAAAAAGTACAAGATTCTACATGTTTTTGTAGTGCTGTGAATTTTGAACCCAGGGCCTCATGCATACTAGACAAGTGTTCTACAAATGAACTACAACCCCAGCCCCTGAGACTACACAGTTCTGAGTAATTTCTATTAGCACTTTGCAAGCTAAGCATAATTTTGAGGACTTACACCTTCTATTGATCATGTAAAGTAGGGAAAATGCTGGTTTCTTTCCAATTCTAATTTTTTTTTCTTCAAATAGATCTCACTTTCTTTTTCCAAGAGAGAGTCAATAAATGGTCTATTTGATAATGATAATTCTTAGCAATTTGTTCTTAAGTACCAAATAAGAAGTTAATTTAAGTACTGAATATTTAATTTGCTAGCATCCCTCTCACGAGGATTACCTTGCTAAACATAGCTTAACCTTTTCAAAATATATCTGTCTGCTGAGCTTACAAATTTGGAGAAATGTATAATTTTCCTACACTAATAAGGAGTTCTAAAGAAAGGTAATTGTGAGCACAAAATTAAAACCTTTTCATTTGATAGCTTTTGCTTCATTCTGTACAATGAATAGTTAACTCCGGATTATAATACTACTTGTGGTTACATAGTTTTAGTGTTTTCCTGATTCTGTGTATAGTAATTGGTTAACTGTGACAAAAAATAAGAACTGTAAGGATATATGTATATATACATTTATATATATTTATTTGGTAGTACTAGGGTTTAAACTTGGGTTCTCAGACAGCTACTCTACCATTTGAACAATGTCTCCAGCCTTTTATATTCTGCATAGGGTCTTCACACTGGATTATATTCTATTTATTCTTCATGGTTTATCTGGGATGACAAAAATGCCCTTAAGTTTCTCTGTTGAGTTGGGTCTTTTGAACTTTTTTGCTTAGGCTGGATTGGAGCCATTGTTCTGATCTCAGCCTCTTTTTTGTTTCTTTACTATATCCTAAAATCTGTTAAAAATCACCAATATTTATGTACATATTTTTCTTTGCTTGTAGTAATTACTTATAATGTAAAGAAATAAAAATCTGAAATAAACTGTTTTTATCTTATTTTCATGTAATTGATTTCATCCCCATTCATTTTAAGTATGAACAAGATTTTTTTTTTTTTTTGGTCAGTCATGGGGCTTGAACTCTGGGCCTGGGCACTGTTCCTCAGCTCTTCAGCTGAAGGCTAGCATGCTACCACTTGAGACGCAGCACCACTTCCAGTTTTCTAGTGGTTTATTGAAGATACCAGGGCTGGCTTTGAACTGTGATCCTTAGATCTCAACCTCCTGAGTAGCGAGGATTACAGGCATTAGCCACCGGTGCCAGGCTTATGTACAGGATTTTTGAATTTTCGTTTAAATTAAATAATTTTCTTAACATATATTTGGAGGTGGGTTGATTTCTAATTAACTTTTTCTGGCATAAGCAAATGCCTTCTGATATAGTACTAGCTTTTCAGTTCAGGATGTTCATTATACTCTTTAATAATGTTTGCGTTTTATTCATTTGGTACATTTTTTCAGGAATACCAGCTCTCTATATGTTGGTTCTTTTTCATTACCTCATCTCTACATTTATTATTTCTTTGCACCCCTTTCTCAAGTCTGTTAATCAGTTCTTACATTTTCTGAGATGTAAAGTTTAAAAAAAATCACAATTTTCATGCTAATACTGCATTACTTTTTTTTTTGCTGGTCCTGAGGCTTGAACTCAGGGCCTAGGTGCTGTTCCTCAGCTCCTTTTGCTCATGGTAATCACTCTACTTGAGCCACAGTGCCACTTCCAGCTTTTTTGAGTAGTTTATTGGAGATAAGAATCTCATTTAAATAGGGATACAGGTGGACTCATTGCAACAATGAGATGTACAAGTTATTATGTCTAAAACGAACTTTACAACTTTGGTGTGGGGAGGGGCTAAAGGTAGGGGTGGGGGGGCGGGGAGAATTGGAGCGGGGTGGAGGGAGGATGGGAAGGGATGGGAAGGGGAAACAAAGGAGGAGGCTATAATGCTTGATACGAAATGTACTCATTATCTTGCCCATGTAATTGTAACCCCTCTGTACAGTATTTTCACAATAATAATAATAATAAAAAAAGACTCTTACAGAGTTTCCCGCCCAGTCTGGCTTCAAACTGTGCTCTTCACATCTCAGCCTCCTGAGTAGCTAAGATTATAGGCGTGAACTACCTGCACTCGGCTACTTTTCTTAATTTTATAGTTTCAAGAAAAATCCACAAATCTTTCATTTTGTTTGAAATTGTACTGTTTCATGAAAACATAAAAGTTTTCTTTGAGACCCTAAGACAGGACCTGTCCAAATTACTTTTGTTTCTCATAATAAATCTTTTTCAAAAGGCTAGTCTACATACAATTCTTTGAATGCTATGTTTGCTCCTTATCCTTTGTAGAATCTTCATTGAACTAAGTAACTGGATTGTTTTGAAGGTTCATCTGTGAAGGAAGACAGATCATTTTTGGCTACCCAAATTAAATATGGCATGGATTTCTCTAGTATTTCTTGACTGCTCATTTGGGAAGCATTAAAATGACTAGGCAGTGGAATTGAGGTGCAGGTGCACATTACAAGTACAGTCATCAGAATCCTGAACGGTGTGGGAGAGGCAAGGCATGACTTGACAATTTTACTTATTTCAGTGATTCTTCCATTTGCAAGATTGTATCCAAACCCACCAAACAGGATAGAGATATTTTGATAAGAAAACAGAAAAATTGCATGGCTGAGAATACATGGAGGTCCACTGCACTTCACTGCACTTGGGTAATTTCTATGAACCTTTTGCAAGCTAAACATAATTTTGAGGACTTACATCTTCTATTGATCATGTAAGGTGGGGAAAATATCAAATGAAGTACTAACAACAATCCGGTGTTTACAATATTGTTGCATTTTCTAAGTGAGGAAAGTGCAGTGTAGTGATTGAGTGACCAGTCCATATTTACATGGCTGGTAAATGCTATAATTCAGATGCAGTCACTCCGATTCTAAATGTAATTTCTATTATATCCTTCTACTTTCCCCCTCTTCATTTATTTTATTCTGAATACTCAATCTCCTTCTCTTTTCAATCCTTGCTTAAGACAGCACAGGTCCCCATGCCCCTCATTTCTCAGGCTAATTCTAGCTTCACCTTTTTCCTTACTCAGCCTTATTACTTGCTGCAACCCTACCTAAGGTGATCCGTCACAGACTTCTTTTACCACAAACTTAAGCCCTGTTTGAAGTCTATCTGGTAATGTGTATCACAGAAGTACCTATATCAGTCATAAGATATCTTGACATTCTACTACCCTGCATTTTTTATATTATCTATTAGACTGAGGCAGAATTATGCACCCCAAATTGCAGCTGGTGGCAGAGTGAGAATTATAATCAGGAGTTCCCTCAGATTTCTGATGTGTTCGCTTTGAACAAACAGCTCATTAGTATGCCTTACATGTATTAAAAAATATATGTAGACTGGGTTGACAAAAAGTATTTTTAGTAGGTCCTATTAGATTTAAAAAATATAGTATATTAGTGAATTATAGTATATTATAGCTTATTAGTGAATTTTTGTTTTTTAATAGGATTTGTTTTTAATAGAATTTTTGTTTTTTAGTGAATAATTATAGTATGTTAGTGAATTTTTTTTAATGGAAAGACCATAAAGTGTATTTATTTGGAAATTTGTGTTTCTAACTCCAGTGTGTAAAAGCTGAGTGTCATTCCACCAGATGTCACTGTTCGCATATAGCAATGAAGTTGCAATGACTTAAACATACAATTTGCCCTCCCTCATTATATTTGATAAAAAAGAATTCTGACTGTATGTCTGTTTTCCTATAGGCTCATTATTTTGTTAAGACTACATTCTGTGCTTTTAACAAAGCACATAATTTTTAAGCCCCCATGCAAAAGAAAATCTTACATAGCTGAATTCTTTCAGACCTCTGTCCTGGCTTTTAAAGCAACATTCTCTACAAGTTAGAGTTGTTCAGACTATTAGTTGAGACCCCCATAAAGTGTATTGTGACATCAGTTCAATGCTTTTCTATAGACACTTAAGAAATGTGTAGAATGGAACAGTCCATTGCATGCCAAGTATCATTTTTGTTTGTGAGTTACTCAAAAATTTCCCTGTACACATTTTGTGACTTCCCTAAAAGCAATGGAGGGGTCCATCCTGTGAATCTCCTCTCAGGCCTCTGGGTATTCAGAAGCAAGGTACATGTTCTAGGGAGAAGACCAGGTAAGCTGTAGTGCAGAATCTCTCTGGAAGAGTCCTAGCAGGGTGGAGGAAACAGTCAGAGGGAGAACAGGGTTGCCTAGGTAGTAGCTCACACTCAGATGCTAGAGGAAGTTGCCTTTTGAACTGCATGACAGAACTTACAATAAGAAATATATTTTTGCTGGACTCCAGTGGTTCATCATGACTATAACCCTAGCTACTCAGGAGGCTGAGATCTAAGGATTATGTTATAAAAGCCAACCTGGGCAGGAAAGTTCTCAAGACTCTTATCTCCAATGAATCACTGAAGAGCTGGAAGTGGAGCTGTGGCTCAAGTGGTAGAGCACTAGCCTTGAGCAGAAAAGCTCAGGGACATTGCCTAGACCCTGAGTTCAAGCCCCAATACCAGCAATAGAGAAAAAAAGGAATAGATATTTCAAAGTCTCTGATCTCATGGGACACTGATGTTGACTCCAAAGGAGGGTTAGCTTTTGCTCCTAGAGGAGTTGGCTTGTTTCTTTCCATCAGCATCCTCACTATTATAACAATGATGATTACAACACCAATCGCTTACTGAGCATGTACTGTTTGGAAAAGTATTAAAAAGAAAATTTCCTTATCGTGTTGGTCTGCTTTCTATTGTGCTAACATAATTGTGTTGGTCTGCTTTCTGTTGCTCTAACATAATTGTGTTGGTCTGCTTTCTGTTGCTCATATATCTAAGACTGGGTAAAGAAAATAGGTTTATATTGTCTCACATTTCTGAAGGTGGGAAAAGCCTAACATTGGACTTGCTCATCTGGTCAGCAACATCTCAGGCTGCTTCACTTTGGTGGGAAAATGGATAGACAAGGAAGGGCCTATCAGAGACAGAAAAGGAGAGCAAACTTCCTCCCACCATAGCTAACATTCCTGCAGTCAAGACATGAATCTAGTCATGAGGAATCCAACCCTATGACCCGAATACCTTCAACTGGGCCACACCTTCCAGCACTGCCATTTTGGCTGGAGGACAAGACATACATTTTCCTGGTGGAAATCATGTTCAAACCATAACTAACATAGCATAGCAAGTAGCTAAAGGGGCTGGAATCCTTGCCCTTAATCTCATCCTAAGGCTTATTCTTTCCAATATATCAATAGTTTTTAGACTTCTCTGAAGATAAGTACCATTTTTTTTTTTTGTGCTGGTCCCGAGGCTTGCACTCATGGCTTGGGCACTGTCCCTGAGCTTCTTTTGTTCAAGGACTTGTACCACAGCACCACTTCTGGCTTTTTTTTTTTGTGTGGCTTTTCCTTCCTGGGCTGGCTTTAACCCATGATCCTCTGATCTCAGACTGGGTAGCTAGGATTACAGACATGAGTCACCAGTGCCTAGCTAGACAATCTTGGTGTCTGGTAAGTATAATAATTATTCAGTTGTATTACAAATTTATGAAATTAGAATCTCCAAAGGAGGGGTCTGGGAAGGTATAGATTTGACAATCATCTTAGGATATTCTTACCTCTGGGCTGTTTATGGACAACCTGAATTGTATCAGTTATTCTCACATTGAGTGTGTCAGAATTGACTGCAGTGCTAGTTAAAACATAGAAGACTCGACCCACACCTCAAGTTTTGATTCTGTGGTGGATCTAAATGGTTTGGATTTCTAACATGTTCCTACGTAACACTGATGATACTGGGCTGGGGCTGGCTTTGGCTTTGGCAATGTGTTTTACTAAGCCCCAATTCAACAGTATTTGTTCAGTATCTACTGTATTCAAATCCTTAGGAGATGGAAAACCTCACTTTTCCTCCAAAGTCACACTGTATCTAATCTTCTGTGAAAAAGATATATAGAAGACCCAATTTTAACACAGGTTCCATTAATTCCAGCAAGAGCTGCTTCAAGAAGGGAAAACGAATCTCAGAAGGCACCTTATCATTCTTACTTTCTGCTTAGGTTGGTGCTTTGCCTGAATCGAAGAAGTGAAATTTGTATTGAGCGTTTGCAGTGAAATAAGAGCTGTTGCATTTCAGTGTAGTGAAACAAAAGTATCATAAGGCTTACTGCTTTCATATATGCAGACCCAAACATAAATTGCTTTTGGATTAATTCTCATGTTGTATTTTTGGCCTTTTCCCTCCCACGTGTGTAGATGTCAAATGACACCATGTTTGTTTCAGCAGAAGTATGCAAAGAGCACAAACTTTTGTTTCCTTTATCAGTAATAGTAAAAACAAATGTATTGTTTGTGCCATGTTGTAGAATGCTGCGTGGAATATCTGCGATGGAGGAAAATGAAGAGGATATGGATGTTTCTCCAGCAGCGCCAACAGAATCCCCTGAACCTGAACATAGACTTAGTTGGCATGCTCAAAAACCACACCTGAGGCTCCTGGGAGAAGAAGTAAGAATTTTCTTGAATATTAGCTTTCTCCACCTCATAGATTCTTAAAATTTGAGGTTTATGATCCTCTTGACATTCCAAAATATTGTTAAGAACTTCAATAATTTACACAATCTTTTGACATTTACAATGTTAGAATAAATGCTAAAATATTTATTAAAAATAATAGTAACAAAATTATGAGTTAGCATAAACAATGTAATTTATGAAAATAATAATTCTTTGACATTACTATGGTTTGAACTCAGGGTCTAGGATTGCTAGACAAGTGCTCTACCTCTTGAGTTTCCTGCTTTTAGTTATTCCTTTGGCAAGGAGCATGCATTTCTTTTGCAGGCTGGTATTGGTTGAGTTCCTATTTACCCTTCTCTGTAGCTCAGGATGGCAAGTACAAAGCACGGTGCCTAGCCTTTCCCTGGATGAGATGTGAATTTCTTTCCTCTCGCTGTGATTCTTCTGACCTCTGCCTTCCAAATACTTAGCATTATAAGCATGAGCTCCTGTGCCTGATAACTATGTTTTTAAATAAAAATTAGAAAATCAGGATTGTTTGCTTAATTATTCTTCTATGGAGCACTTTACTTTTTGTTTCATAGAAGACAGCTACATTTTCTTTTCTTTTTATTTATTTTTTTATTTTTATTTTTTGTGAACACACTGTACAGAGGGGTTACAATTACATGGGCAGGTTAATGCATACATTTCTTATCAAGCATTGCAGCCTCCTCCTTTGTTTACCCTTCACATCCCTTCCCAGCCTCCCCCTCCCCAATCCTCCCTGCCTTCCCCCTCCCCCGCCCCCCCCACCAACACTACTGTGTTTAATTTTGTGGTTGTTTTAGTTGAAATATATGAGAAAATTATAGGTACTTGGAAAAGAACAATTTTCCATAGCCTTTGCTTATATAAATGTGGGCATTTTAATTAAATAACACACCGAAATTTAAATGAGTGCATATTTCTTGAGAGTTAGTTGGGATACTGCCACTTCTGGCCAAACTAGGCTATGATCATTGTCCTTATTCAGTTTATTGCCTAGTACAACAAAAACTCCTGGACATTACATAGAATGACTCTAAAAGTAGAGCCAAAGATGCACAGTAGTTATGAACTTAGAGTTAAAGAATAACATGTAAGTGAGTAAAGTTTCTGAGTTTTTCTTTTTGCTTCATATATGTTAAACTTAAGTTGAAAAGAAAAATGAAGAATAACCTGGAAATACCAATAGAGAAAGAAGAAAAATGCCTCAATGAAAACCTGTAATCAGAAGCCAAAAAAGCAGGCTAATATATTAGAATAAAACTTTTAGAAAAGGAAATTACTCTTCTGCAAGCAAATATGACAGAAAAAGCTACTCTCAGTCCTCACATTTGCCAGTAAAAGACTTGTGTCTATCCTTTCCCAAAGTGTTCCAACGTGTACTAACACCTTTGGACAAACTGACTGAGTATGGATCTGTGCTGTGGTTTGGATATAAAATGTCCCCTCAAAACTCATGCATTAAAGGCTTGGTGTACGATGTTCAAAGGTAGGGCTTTTGAAATGACTGGATCATGAGGGCTCTTATTTAATAAATGGATCAATACTTGGCTAGATTTATAATCAAATAAATGATTGGGAGATGGTGAAAGCTATGGAAGGAGACTTGATTGGAAGAAGACAGTCACTGTCAGTGGTGCCTTTGAGGATGGGTCTTGTTCTCAGCCTCTTGTGCTTTTTGTCTCCTTGCTTCCGGCTGCCATGTGGTGAGCAGCTCTGGCCTGCTTCATGGTCACTACCATGCTGTTTTAGCTTTGTCATAGGCCTACAACAATGGATCTAGCTGACTAGGGACTAAAACCTCTGACACAATGAGGCAAAATACATCTGTCTTCCCTGAAATAGCTTTCCTCAGATATTTTGTCTCATTATTAAGACGTCACTAATATAAATCAGGGCTTGCATTCTGTTAGAGTTGTGATGAAGCTTCCTTTTTTATTCCTGACAGTGAAACCACATGGAATTCCATTCCCATCCTCAGTAGGGATCCACTCTTCCCAATCCGCACTGTGGTGTGATCACAAGAGGTCTGTTTCATAGGGTGTCAGCAAAAAATTGTTTAAAGAAGGTGGAGAGTCTTATGACATAAGACCCCAAATGTCCAGATTTTATTTCAAAACCACTGATCACACTAATAATGAGGAAAATCTCACCTTGAATATCAAGAGCCAGTTCATGCATGGATTGATAACAGATGATAGAATTTTCTGATGAGAAACACTGTGATAATGGATGTTAGATGAATTTTCTGATGAAAAATTTGAAGCTGCCATCACACACTTTGCTTCAGTAAGCAATTACGAACACTTTTACAAAAAGTTCACAAAAAGTATGTCCAGAAAGAATACAATTGTGAAAAAGTTTGTTGCAACTAAAATCAGATTAAAAATCTTTATTTGTCTTAGACACTGAATGAGTCTGTTTCTACTGTGTGGTTGTACCTGGAAAATATTGTTCATCAATTTTATGGCTTTTGAAATGTTGGTACACTTTACAGTGAATACAATATCAAAATAACTTATAATTAGTGTTGCAGAAGTCTTCTTAATGGAAATCAGGAAAGGTTATAGTGAAAGCCATATATTTTCAACATTTGGATTTTTTTCTTTTTGGTTCAAAACCCTCAATTTTTAACTTAAAAAAATTTAGCTACTCTGGAGACTGAAATCTGAGGATTATGATTTGAAGCCAGCCTGGGCAGAAAAGTTTGTGTGATTCTTACCTCCAATTAAGTACCAAGAAAATGTAAGTGTGACTCAAGTGGCAGAGCTCTAGTCTTGAGCACAAAAGCTCAGAACCAGTACCCAGGTCCTGATCTCAAGCCCCAGGACCAGCATGTGTGTGTGTGTGCGCACATGCACACACACATATGAACCCCCCAATAAATGGAAAGAAATTAAAATTTAAAAAATTTAATATTTTTTTTGCTGGTACTAGGTTTTAACTCAGGGCCTCATGCTTGCTCGATTGGTGCTCCATCACTTGAGCCATGCTTTTGGTTTAGCTTTTTGCAATTAATTGAAGATGAAGCCTGGTGGACTTTTCTGCTCTGGCTAATTTCCAATCAAGATTCCCCAGACCTCAGCCTTTTGAGTAGGTAGGATTACAGATAAAAACTGTTGGGATCCAGCAACAGCCCCACATTTTGATTGGCATAACTAGTCTGAATTGTTTGATTTAAACTGACAGGCTTCTATTTTTCCTTTTTAGGAAAATATTTGCTATATAACCTGATTCTTATTTGACTTATTTGTTATTTATTTTTCATACTTATTCATTCATTCCTATATCTGGGTTTGAATCCTCAAGGTTTTGCTCAGTTTTCTTAGTCAGAGCTGGTAGTCTACCACTTGGGTTACTCCTCTAGCCCAACCTAATCTTATTCTCAGTCATTATAGTTTATTAATCGAAACAGTATGGTCAGTTTACAACTCACGTTTTTCCTCCGGCTTCACCCTCCTTCAGTGGTAGCCATGGACACATCTGTGTGTTCAGCTCATTCTTTACATTGACTAGAAAAAAGATGTGAGAGTTCATAAAATTTATGATTTTTTTCTTGCTGCTCAGAGGGCTTTTAAAAAGAATTTTGCCTGGATTCAGGCAAAAGGTATTGCCTATATATATATATATATATATATATATATATATATATATATTTTTTTTTTTTTGGTACCATCAGCGTAAATGTCAACACAGTGAAAAAGGCAAATAACCTTTTCCAGGGTCTCAGACTACATTTTCAAAGCTGGTGTTCTGCTTTATGTTTCATTGATGTGAGACTGACCTTACGACTGAAATTAATGTGCATGTATGTCTTTTTCCCTCCATGAACACAGTGCTCTGACCTTAGGTCTATCAGTATAAGCATGAGTGATTGTCCTATATGGTAATATGCATATTGTAACCTGAGGGTCTCTGCAGGTGCAGGTAAACACTAAATTAAACAAGTATGCTTTATAGTTAGTAATTCAGTTTGCTACGTACCCTTGGCCTGCATGTGAAATTCTAGCAACCACCAGCACTTCTGTTTCTATTCATTTTCCTAGAACTCTTCTTAGAACATTTTGGGTTTGGCAGAGTAAACTGATTCACCATGATTGGTTTCTTTATTAATATAATTGAATACATTCTCTCCTGTGTACTATTGTTTAGCCTCTCCTTTTGAGGTTTGTGTCTTACATCTAGAGCAGTAATTTTATTCTGCCTGCTTAAGCTGCTATAAATCTGTTTATGGCACTGGGGGAATTACTGCATCATATATGATATGTCATTGTGTACCTGAAATCTCAATTCCTAAGTGCTCTCTGGAAGACTTGTCATCTGATTTGGGAAGAGTTTGCTCATATTATAGTTTAGCCAGGACTCACTGGCTCTGAGTGTTCATAACACGGTATTCAAGATACATTGTGAATTTTTATTTGCTGGGTCTGGGTCTTCATCTATTATCCAGGAACTTTGTATCATGTCCACTCTGTAGAAGATGGTACTGTCCGGGGTTCATAGTGGATGCTAAAGTTGTGCTTGAAGGTTGAAAATTACTTGAGCTCAGGTTTCCTCTACCAGAAGTTTTTTTTTAAAGGAGAAGATGTATAGCCCAATTAAATATTATTAAAGTCAATGAAAAGTTTAAAGGAGTGAATAGGATTAAAGTACTTTATGTTCATGTATGGAATGTTGAAACCTGTTAAAATTGCTTTGTATTATACTATAGCTACTCACTACTTGGGAGCAGGATATTGGAAGATCCTGGTTTAAAGCCAGCTCAGGAAGTTCATGAGTGTGTGTGCAGTAGAGCACACACTTCTTATCTTAGCTGTAGAGAAAACACAATGGTTGGGAAATATGGCAATGTACATGTCATTTCTAGTGAAATGGGAGGCACAGGAGGAGGATTGAAGCCCAGAACATCTAGAGATAAATTGAGAGCCTACTTTGAAAATTACCAGGGCCAAATGGGGCTG